AAGAAGCAAAATTGATCAATATATCAAGTGTGATATATCTTAAGAAAGGCAAAATCACACACATTAAGGAAATGAAATAAATTTTGTCGTATGATAATAAGGTCACGTGACAGAGCTCTTTAAAGATAAAAATTGCGATTTTCAAATGGCTCTAGAACCGGAAGGTAACATCGCGTGACAAAAGTAAATATATTTTTAGATAGATCTTGTTAGGGACCACAACATTTGTGCAGGTCACAAGGTCACCACAGGTCAAGGTAACTAGATATATGCCTTAGCAGTTTTGACAATGACTGAAAAAATATAACCGGTAATTAAAAAAAAACAAAGCCAAAATTCAAAAATCGGCTTCCAAAATTTTCTTAACAATCAATTGCAGATTCTATAGACACTAACATCTCACACATCAGCTTTACCCCTAAGGCCCCATTTTGAGTTTTATAAAAATTAGGTGTATCAAGATGGCGTCTTACCCTATACTTCTGGGTCAAATTTATTCATTTCAACATGTTTATGGGGACTACTCTAACTAATTGCAAAAAGAATTTTTCAAATATCTGCAAAATGCCGGAAGTTGAAATTTCAACTTTACGAGCGAATAACTTCAAAACTGGAAGTAATATCGAAACTTTGAAAATTAATTTTAGGTTCCAATCAAAATATCTAATTATCTGTAAGTTTTCATATCGATTGAAATAAAATTGTAGAAGTTAGAAAAAAAGTGAAAAACCTCAAAAATTGAAACTAAAAAAGTCAGCGACAAAAGTTTAAATTTTAGAATTTTTTAATTGCTATATTATAGCCGTTAGCGCGAACTTATTAACGAAAAAAGATCGATCAAAATCCGATCAAAATTGGAGCCGAAAATTAGCTAAAACGTAAAAAATAGATTTTGTTCTACGTCATTTCCGGTTGGAAAAAAATGCATGAAAATACGTTCATCAGATTTAGTCTCGCGGCGTTAACAGGAGAAATTTTAACAGTATTTATGTGGCATGTATAGTTTTGGCCTGGCGCTCTGACCAGAATTCGAAAAAAAAAAACAAAAAAAACTAGAGCCACTCGTGGCACAGAGTGGGACTTTGCAAATGTAGCAATTTGCTAAAGACCCTGAAAAAATCAACCATCGACGATAATTAGATCAAGCGCACGAACAAGTCTAAAGTTGATAATTTTTTATTTTTTAGAAGATTCTAATACCGGAAGTAGACATCAGACCTCACAAATGAAAGTATCAAGCAGATAGCCAAGGTCAATGACCTTTGATCTTGTAAAAGAGAAGGTCTAAAAAGGTCAAGATCAAGAGATATATGTCATCAAAATTTCTAATTGCACACGACTATAAAACCGGAAGATGACATAAAACAGCAAATATAAAAGTATAAATAGATAGCCAATGGCAATGACGTTTGATCCTACAAAGGTCAAGGTCAACAAAGGTCAAGGTCAAAAATTGAAAATTTTGAATTTCCAAAACCTGTTCCTTTTTTTGAACTATGAAGCGGAAACAACCGAACTTCTAAGACAAAGTGGCTCAAAACATGAGATGATTGTATGTAAAGTTCCATTTTAAACAAACGTATACTTTGCGAGATATGCTCCTGGCCAAAAATATCAATAATGAGTAATATAACCATGATGTGCCACGCCCTCCTTAATTTTTTTTGCATGGGGTAATTGATATTCCAAATGTTACTTTGTGTTTCAAATTTCAAGCTTCTACATTATTCAGGTCAAAAGATATAGGTCACCAAATGTCAACAAAGGTCAAAATTAAAAAATGAAAATATCCAAATGTTAAAACCTGTTCCTTGTTTGGAACTATAAAGCTGAAACAACTGAGCTGTTAACACAAACTGGCCAAAAGGATGAGGTAATTGTGTGCAAAGTCCCTTTTTTAACAAACGTATACTATGCGAGTTATGCCCCAGCACCAAAATGTAAACAATTAGTAATTCAACCCGGATGTGCCACGCCCACCCCAATTTTTGGATCATAGATAAATTCATATTCAAAGTGTCTTCCAAATATCAAGGCTCTACATAAAATAGATCATAAGATATACATACACCAAGATCAAAAAGACGCAAATATGGTAAAAAAAAAACCCTCAAATTTGAAAAAATCACAAATTTCAATTTTGCTTTAAAAAAGCAATTGTTCTCTAACTATGTAAAGTGCATGAGAAGCACATTCGGTAACCGAAAAAATTAACCCTCTAGGTTAATTAGGTCACGTGCTAGAGCAGTCCAAAGTTGCGAATTTGGCCTTTTACGGATAGCTATAAAACCGGAAGTACAAAGTATCAAATGATAGCCAAGGTCAATGACCATTGACCCTATGAAGGTCAAGGTCATCAAAGGTCAAGGTCACAAGAAATAAGCTTTCAAACTTTGAAAAAATTCAACTGGAAGTTGCAAAAATGCAAAAGCAAAATTCAAAAATCGGCTTGCAACGTTTTGTGAACATTAAACAGCAGATTACATCGACACCAAATTTATGCAGATTTAGTTTATCCCTAAGGACTTATTTCGATTTTAAGAAAATTAGAAAATCAAGATGGCAGCCAAAGTATCACTTCCAGTCTGGATTTTATATTCTTCGTTTTTTTGTATTAGCATTTACTTACGACCTGCATAAATTCCGTTGACCTATTTCATTTACACCGGAAGTTATTCGACCGGAAGTAGATTGTACTTTCAATTCATTCCACCTTCAAAACCGGAAGTGACGTCAAAACTCTGACTGTATCATATCATTGACTTTATTGATGTCTCTTTGCATTTTAAATTTCAGATCAATCGATGCAAAAACAAAAAAGTTGCAAAATAATTGCAAAATTCAATCGAAAAAAGTTTGCGACAAATTTTCGAATTTCGTAATTTTTCAAGTGCTATTTGATCAGAAATTACAGCCAGATTTTAAAAATGAGAACCCAAAGAAAATCGATGCAAAAATGCGCCTTCTAGAGCCAATTTACACATGTAGAAATGTTCATGTAGCTATTGAAGCCTAGGCTGTGTGCCCTGTGGAAATTTCGAAAAAAAAAAAAAAAAAAAAAAAAAGAAAAAGAATTGACATTTCGATAACAAAAAAACATATGCAAACATATGCAAAACAAAGCAGTGCGTTCAATACAAGGCACTGCAAAAAAAAAAAAAAAGAATGAACATTTCGATAACAAACTGAACATTCTAAAAACAGTACTGATGCAGGGCGGGTTACGATATTCAGGTACATACGAAGACGGTCTATTGCAATTACTTTATGTAAATACATTTCTGCATCTCTAAATGCCAATATCTAAAAGTGCTTGGAGTAAGTAGTACTAGAGCTTATAGATTTGTCGCACGGGGATTCCCCATTCCATTTCATTTCATGGGGAAAATGCGACCACCCTAAACACCCTACATTTCATAAATTCTTACACCTATTCACCCTACATTTCATAAATTCTTACACTAAAGACCTAAATCCACTATAAATTATTTCACCTAAACTCCCTACATTTCATTCACCAAAAAACACCTTCAATCAATTTCCTACATTCCATCAAAAAAGCATATTAAAAATACCCTTATATAAAATAACATAACATTTTTTTAATAGCCTTGTTTTAAATAATGTTATTTTTAGTCTAGAAAAGGGAGATAACTCTTTTGGGAAACACAATTTCTTCGTTAAATTAACTCATTTTAAAATAGGATGAGTTTAATTCTAAAACATGAACAACACAGATTCGAAGATTATTCGGGCGACGGTATCTTTTCTTCATTATTTTCTCTAGGTAAGACAATAGTTCCAAAAGTAGCTAGCTTTGTTTCAAACAACAAATCACTCATTTCAACCGGAGCGAAAGCCATCGGCTCAATCGCGGAAGCTGGAAAGAGTATAAGCGACACAGTGAAACAATCTAACGAGTTGAAAGAATTAGAGCTAATAAAAGAACTGCAGAAACAGGAGATTAGAAGAAAGGAAAGGAAAAGGTTTTAAAGTTATAGGATAAAAATGATTGTCGCTCACGCTCCAAAAACTTATTTCGGTTCAGGAGATATTCAAAAATCATTGGGTTCTCTTCCTGGATTTCCATGGGCAAAATATCCCGGAGAAAAACATCTTCCCGGTCATAATTACACTGGTCCAGGTACTAGGTTAGATCTGCGATTAGACGAAAACGATAAACCCAAACCCGGCGAAGAACCAGTCGATACAGTTCACGCCGCTGCGCTTAAACACGACATACTGTACAGAAACAAAGACATAAACTTCAGACACGAAGCAGACAGACAAATGATAATCGAACTTGAAAATATTCCAAATCCAACTTTCAAAGAGAGAATGCAAAGGGTTCTGATCATAAAACTGTTAAAAGCAAAGATGAAATTGGGCATGGGATTAGCGGATGAAATTCATAAAGAATTTAGAAAAACTAAAAACTTTTTAAAAGTTAAAGTATTTGAAAAAGATGAAATATGGTCAGCCGATTTAATTAATATGCCAGTCGAAAGAGGATATAAATATTGCTTAACAGTTATAGGTTTGTATACGAGATATGCTTGGGTTATTCCTTTGAAAAACAAAACAGGATTATCAGTCAAACACGCATTTGAAACGATTATGAAGCAATCTAACCGTCATCCAGAAAAACTGTGGGTAGTAAAGGAAGTGAATTTTATAACAAAAATATGAAATCTCTGGGATTTGAAATTTACAGCACGCATAATGAAGGTAAAGCTGTAGTTATTGAGAGATATAATAGAACTCTAAAAAATAAATTATTCAAAAAATTCACGGAATTGAAATCTCAAAAATGGCTTAAAATATTACCAGAGGTTGTAGATGAAAACAATAACAAAATTCATTCATCTATAGGTGTCACAGCAACACAAGCCTCGAGTAATCCAAATATTATAAAGTCAATTAACGCGCAACATAACTACAAAAATGAAATAAAGAATTTAAATATCAAACCCAAATTTAAAGTAGGAGATCGAGTTCGTATTTTCAAATATAAAAGCAAATTCGAAAAAGGTTACGTTGGATACTTGACGAACGAAATATTTATCGTTGATAAAGTAAACACCATATCACCTCCGACATATGAATTAATCGATCAAGACAAAGAACAAATCATAGGTAGGTTTTATCAAAATGAACTTCAAAAAACCGACTTTTAAAAATGAATATCTTTCTCGATAAATATGGAACCGATACAACCACAAACTTTCAACTTATAAGATGGGCGAATGAGTTAAATATATCACCATTTTATTATTGTATGAGAGATGAAATAAATAATCTCAAATATAAGAAAGGTAAATTTTACGCTATAACAAATATACACACT